ACACCGGCCAGACCACCAACCCCACTCGCCGCCCCCCACCTTCCACCCAACCAAACTATGTCGTAACAACACCAAGCCCACACGCCCAGAAACGCCCAAAGGAGCAAAAAACACGATCTCATTCACATTCCACATCTACACCCTCCCCCACCTCCTCTCCCCCTCGCCATCGTCTAAGTCGGATCGGGCAGCACCCCGACCGCTCCACGTCTAGTGCATGCAGAAAAACGCAGGCGACGGCAGTCACGACAGCAACCTTGTAGGAAAAACATACCGAAAGTCGGATCTTATTGTAAACTTCACAGTCTTCTCACCATATTCACCACGTAGCATTAGCAACCACACGCTACTAAAAATGTCAATTTGTGAATCAGTTAGCAACTCGACCGTAAGCCAGCAAGCGTAAGAAGAAATCACCCCACAACCCGTCAACAAAAAGGGGGGGAAAAAAAAAACAAAAAAAAAAACCATTTAACTAAAAAACACAGATCACGTAGGATCCCAACCAGGAGAGATAAACAAACATATCAAAACGCTCACCAACCACACGTAAGAAAAAGCATACAAAAAGGACCAAAACAAAATAACAAAAACAAACCGCCACCCAAGACACCAACCCCTAGCCTTTGTTTGTTTCCTTGTGTTCGCTACCCCCCGCACAAAATCCACGTACGCCCGACACGACCCCTTCCCCTCTCACCCCAGCTCGTCGACTCCCCCCCAACCCCCCCCTCCGCACCCATTCCGAACTCCACTCGCCACCTCAGCCGCTGGCAAGGATGGCAACATCAGCACCGGTCACGTTCCAGCACCGCTTCTCCTCAGTCGTAGCGACCAACGCCAAAAATGCTGGTAAGAACAACCAATCGAATGGCCCGCTCGTCGACCATGAGACACTGAGGTTCCTGCTGGAGCAACCTCAAATCAAAGGCGAAAAAATGGTCAAGAAAATCCAGCAGGATGGGGAGGAAAAAGAAATCACATCTGGTGTTACCCGAAGGAAAAAATTGAAACAACCAATGCCATGTATGCGAAACACGGTTTAGTTTTCACCTTCTCTAACACAGGTGCCCGTCTCCCAGAAATCGAGAAACGAAAGTGGATCACCAGAACAATATAGGGTCACGAAAACCTCAGAACCAGCACGGACAAATTCTCGATCCTGGTACTCAGCAAAAATATGATGATGGTCGTATTCAAAGATGCTGATCAGGCAGCCAACCTGATCAGCAGGCACACCACTTTGAATTGCAATGGGTCGGTATGCTCCCTGTCCAGATGGAAACAGGAGACGGCTCAGAAAGCCACCATCTCGCCGGCGACAGCACAGAAACAGAGACTAATGAGGGACCAATTCTGGGTCCAGTTCGACAATATCCCCATCAGGGGTCACCCGCTGATCAAGGATCGTCTGGAGGTCGAATACCTGAACAACAAAGTGTTAAAGTGGGTGCTCCCCACTCCAGACTTCCTAGCCCCTCATTGCGATTTCATCACCGCCGTCCTGGAAGTGAACTCCGAAACGAACCCAGAATTCCCGGAAGAATGGGAATTCTGCATCGGGGAGGAAACATCTTCAGTTACAGTCTCAACTAAAGACGCTCCCATCTGCTTCAGATGCAGAGAAAGAGGACACCTGGGCACAGACCCAGCCTGTCCGAGATCCCCTGAACATTCGAAAGAGAAGAAACTGAGACAGAACATGTTGGTGGAAGTGGAGGAAGCAAAAGGCATCTGGTTCGTCAACGACCAGGATTACAATGGATGGGTCTTTGACGACACCATTGAAGATCCAAAGTGGATCTGGATATATAACACAAAGGCAACAACAAAACAACCAGACATCTTCCCCCCATCAGACAGCAGATGGCATGCAGTGGGAGCGAAGAAGGTGACAGGGATTCCAGGGAAGATCCACAAAGATCAGATCATCGACCCACGAGCAATCAGGGAGGAAAAGAAACATGAGGATCTGTTGTGGGACATGGAGACAATCCGGATCCAGACAGCAGAAGCTTGCCAAAACACAAACTTGGACAACAACACGCTGATACAAGAGGCAAAAAAGACCCTCGAACACCGCCACCCCAAAGCTGAGATCCCCCCTGCTCTCAAACGTAACGCCTCCCCCTCATCCAAAGGATGCAAAGAGGACAGAGCAGGAAAGAAGAGGAGGGCGACTGAGGAGGGCTCAGGCAAAATGCACAAGACTGATCAATCCTCCACAGACGACACCCCCCCCGGGGCAGACCCGAGCTCACCAGCTGCCTCACAGACAGGAATGGATATCTCGCCAAACAAAGTGAGTCCCATTTCGTGGCTTGAGGAGTACCTGCAGAGAGCAAAATACGAGAGAGAGAAGGAATTCGACATGGCCTGCATGAAACACCTGGAGAAGACGGGGAAGCCGGTCACCGGTAAAACAGTGGCAGGAATCCCCCACTCCAAGAACTTCTTCGATCTGCTGCACATGAAATCTGAACTATCGGAGTTCAGTGCGTTCAGATCATATGAAAAAAAGAGAGAGAGAGAATCTGTAGGAATGGAGACAGGTACAGGATTCGACCCCCGAGCCTCAACGGACTCCATCCGCAACATGGTCTCCAAAAACTGGAAACCGTCGAAGGGAAGGGACAAGAGACCAAGAGGCCCCCCCAAAGATGAGGCTGGCAGCAAGAACGAGCAGCGCCGACTCACGCAAGAGATTGCAACAGTGGCAGCACAGACCAAGCGGCTGTTCGACCAGAACATGGATTACAAAAAGGAACAAGGGGAAAAATTCATCACAGTCCGGATGATAGCTGAAAACAAAGCGCCCAGTGTCACCAAATCAGCTGCAGCAGACAGGGGGACAGTCAGGGCAGTGAGACCTCTGATACCAGTCCGGTTCAGAAGCAAGTTTAACGAGTGGTAGGTGGCCACCGACGCAGCATTCTCAATCCCCACCCTCGACGACGACAGAGCCCTGGCAAAGAGCATCAGGGACAACATCTCTGCAGATACCCCGCTGGGGGTGTACGGGCTCCCTCCACGTGAGGCGACAGTCGAAGGGAAGACACTGGATGAGCCGATTCTCACCCCTTTCGACCCCATCCTGGTCAAGCTGGAGGAAAAGGCCAAACTCAGCGATGGCTTGACATGGAGGGCATGGGACACAATCACAATGCTCCAACACAACGTGCTGAATGGGAGATTCAGCACGAACGACATCATTTTTGCTGACTCGATGGCAGACATCATCAGAACCCACCTCCTGACATCTAGGACCTCACTGCAGGACGAGGCGACCCCCATCTACGTGGAGATGGGGAATGAGGAAGTGGACATGGTAAACGAAGAAGAAGAGGACTTGGGTTCGGGAGACAAGTTCTCCCCCGGGGGAGAGGATGAGGAGCCGCATCCGGTAACAGAGAGCAGCGCTGGGGAATACAGCATGGACGCCGCAGCATCAAAGGAGGACAGCTGGGACTCGGACTCAGAGAGCAGCAAGGCCCAGGCAGCAGTGGACTGAAAAACTCACCATAATGGACAGCAAACTCTCACCGCACAAACCAAACAAATGAACAACAACTGAAATAAGAAGGTAACAGGGAAGGAGGGGGGGGGGGGGGAATAAAAAAAAATTAGATACCAATGCAGAACCCCGCAAGTAGCAGAAACGGGCAGAAACGCCCACCAAGGATAAACTGGCATGCAAAGGGACTCCAGATAGTAAGCTGGAACGTCAACGGCTTGGGCAACATACTAACGGAGGAAGACAAGCTTAGGGATATCCGAACAAGCCTGGTGAGTAAGGACCTCCCCAAACCCGACCTCATACTCCTCCAAGAGACCCACCTGTCCAATTTGCACAACCACCTGAAGATACAACAAAGAATGGAGAGAACGCTAGGTGGATGTGCTTTCGCACTGTGGTCCAACAAAGAAGGCCAGAGCAACAAAGGGACGACGATACTCATCCCGAAAACGTCCAAAATCCTAACCGAGGGACAGATCCTGAACAGCGAAGGGGATAGCGAGGGAGGAAGATGGTCCTGGGTGGACATCATATGGCAAGAGGAAGACATGAGAATACTTAACCTGTACGCACCTAACGCAGAATCCGACAGACTGACTTTCCTCGAGAGTATCAAAACTCTCATCCCCAACCCACAGCCCGTTGTCATCGCAGGAGACTGGAACACCACCCTAGACCCAAACCTGGATCGGATCTCAAGAGCAGCATTAATGGGACCCACAAGAGCAGGTACCCAGATCCGAAACCTGATGATTGAGTTCGAACTCATCGACCCCCTCAGATCACTGCACCCGGACAAAAAAGTGTTCTCCCGGATAAGGAAAAATCAAGCCAACCGGACATCTTTGTCCAAGATAGATTATTTCCTCATCTCCGAGAGCCTACTCGGCACAGTCAAAGAGGCCGAAATCCTCCCATCAGCAGCGTTCAAAGGGCTAGACCACAAGCCCATCCAACTGCTGCTCAACTTCAATGCACCAGTGGAAACAGGCCAGGGGTTTTTCAAAATGAACAACTCCCTCCTAAAAACCGAAAGAATGGCTGAGTCAGTCAGAGATAATTGGGCCCTCATCAGACAGCGGGAGTCCAAACAGACGAACAGCCACCAATGGTTCATTGATAGTTATGCAGACCTAACACGGACGGTATCRGCGGAATCCCGAGATATCGCCAGAGACCGCAAGAAGAGAAGGGAAGAACTCTAATTTGCAATAGCCGTCGCAATAGCAAATCTGGCAGAGGACCCCTCCAACAGATTTTATCAAGAGTTACTCGATGACACCAAAGAGGAACTTAATGAGTGGAGAAGATGGGAACTGAGAGGGCTGCAGATCCGAGCGAGGATGACAGACTACACACTTCATGAATCCATGACAAAATTCTTCTTCGCCAAAATTAAAGTGAACGCAAGGAACAACATGATAGAGGCTCTCCAGGATCCAACAGATTTAGAGAACATTAAAACGACAGGCCCCGAGATGGTAAGGATAGCTAGATCATTCTACGCAGAATTATACGAGTCTAAGACACCCTCACCCCCGACCACAGCGAACACAGCAGCTCGACAACTAATGCTCTCGTACCTCGACAAAACCATCTCGACCAGTCAGGCGGAAGGCCTTGACGAACCCCTCACCCTTGCCGAACTACACACAGCCCTGACCCAGATGGGAAATGACAAAGCTCCGGGCATAGACGGACTCTCCAAAGAATTTTGGAGTTGCGTCTGGCCGACCCTAGGAGAAGATCTGCTTGACTTTTTCAACGAAAGCATGCACAGAGGTGGCCTAGGAAAAGAACTGAGTACGAGCGTGGTCTCACTACTGTACAAGAAGGGAAACAAAGAAGACTTGAAGAATTACAGACCCATATCCCTTTTAACCACGCCCTACAAAATCCTAGCCAAGGCACTTGCGAACAAAATCACAAAGCTAACAAACAACTGCTTTCACATAGACCAAGCAGGCTTCATCCCAGGCAGGTACATTCTAGACAATGTAATGACCCTGAACGAGGCAGCAAAAAAGATCACAGAAAAACGAATGAAAGCTGGAATCTTGTTCTTCGATTTCGAGAAAGCCTACGACCAGGTCAATTGGGATTTCCTCCACTCATGCATGGAGAAAATGGGGGTAGGCCCGTACTTCAGGAGTTGGGTCAGAATACTATATGCCGACGCAACAGGCAGAGTCCAGGTCAACAGAATCCTATCCGACACCTACCCTATCTCGCGATCAGTCAGACAAGGCGACACACTGGCTCCTCCCATATTCCTTTTCATCATGGAAGCCATAGCCTCCTTCCTCCGTAAAGACCCGTCCATCGATCGCCTCACTGAACGGAATTTTAACCCGCTACACGACTTCGCCCTTCCCACTGCACTCATGTTCGCCGACGACCTTACTGTCTTGATCCGCGCCAATAACAACTCCTTCCAAGCTCTAGTAAGGGCAATGGAAGCTTTCAGACTAGCCTCAKAAATGAGGGTCAACTGGAACAAAACCGAAGGATGGTGGCTAGCGGACAACACCCCTCCCCAACCATCAGATACAACCACACCGATGACATGGACTACGGGAGAGCAAGCATTAAGGTTTCTAGGCATCATGATCAACAAGGAAGGGGTGTGGCTAGGAATGGGCCAAAACCTAATTGCTAGAGCAATCACCCGTCTGGCCCAATGCAAGAGCGCACAAGCCTCTCTAATCGGACAGGCGATACTAATTAACACAGCTATCTTCTCCACACTGTGGTATATGGCATCCATCTGGTCCCCCCCTGACGACGACATCAAAAAATTGAAGAACAGGGTGAGATGTTATCTGTGGACAGGCGATCCCAACAGGACCACCTGTATAAACAGGGTTGCGTGGAATCGCATCATCAGGAAACCACAGGAAGGGGGCCTTGGGATCATCGACCCCAAACAGGAATCCATAGCACTGCAGACGAAATGGATCCTCAAGATCTTGASTAGACAGTTCCTCCCATGGACCCAGATGGCGCTTGACAGCATCAGAAACCTAGCCCCCATCAACTCCCCCCCGAACATGAACGGTCTGTTTTGGCTCATGGCAAAAGGCTGGACAATAAAATCCGGCAGACCACGCAGGAGAAACCCTCCACAGCCTAGCACAAACCCCACTCCAACAGCCAGTTCATACTGGACACCCACCATCAAAGCCTGGCGGAGAATGATGTCAAGCAGACACGGCGCACCGGGAAACAGAGAAGAAGTCCTGAGACAACCTATATTCTGCAACCCCTGGATCACTGACCCCAGCGGAGAGGAATGGACCCTACGTTCCAAGGACCGTAGGTGGCTTTCCTGGGTAGAAAGAGGTGTGTGGCAAGTCAGACACATCTGGGAAGAAGACCAAGGACRATGGGCTACTGACCAAGAACTACGCAATGTCCTAAGAGGCTGTCATGCCCTCTCTGACAACCTTACGCGGATCCGAAACAGCATCCCAACACACTCGCTCCCCCTCCTAAGTGAGAGTTTCTCATGGAAAGCGGGGGACTGGGGAATATTGATATCCCAAACCCAGTCGACCAGAGCATACAGATTCGTCGCTAGAACCAACCTGCCCGGTTATCTATCTAAGTTCTTCTCTTACCCCGTAGCCAAGCACACCACCAATGAGTTGGAAATCCAGAACRGAGATCCTCAGTGCGTTATACTCGACACATTTCGACTGAGGAAAGTGAGAGTCTCAAAGAAAAAACCCTGGATACTCTTCAGACCGGACCTCGGCATCTCTGAGCTGGAATTTGATCCGAAGGAATGGGTTTGGAAACAGGGCAAAACAGGGAGAACTAGAATGATAGACGAATATGACGTCAAACTCGGTTATGAGTCGGGCCTACAAACCACAGACCCGGATCCCWGACTCAGAGGAAAATGGAGGGAAATTCTGAGCTTAGACCCATCGGTCCTCGTATCCATCCCATGGTCAAAGCTCCTGTCCATCAGACCAGCTAGGATCCGAAGTATGCAATGGCTCATAGCGCACGCCGCTCTGCCAACCAACCAATGGCTCCACAAGAGGAGGAAGCACACAGACCCCAACAGCACCGACCTGTGCAAACTCTGCTCTGATAACATCCCCGAAGACATACCCCACTGCCTACTGTACTGCTCGGAAGCAGCGTGGATCTGGAACAAAGTGTGTAACCTGTGGCACATCCTCTTCTCTTCACCCCCCCYSCCCAYGAYCCCYCTCAACATCTTGTTCTTATCTAACAACACTAACAACCTCAAAGGAGGAAAGGAGGATTGGTACCATCTTCTCAGAAAGTTGGCTGTGTGGGTGATTTGGAAGAGGAGATGCACCAAGACAATCGAAGAAACTGAGGTGCCAAGAGAAGAAATGTGGGCWCTTCTACTGAAAATGGCGGAAACAGAGATTCGAGTCAGATGGAGGGAAGTGACTGTGAGGACGAAAGGTAGACCAGAAAGGATAGCCACAAGGAGACGAGTTTTTATAAAGACTGGCTTCTACAAGGAAAGATCGCCACTGTGGTGGACAACAGATTGATTTGGAAGAAGTGGCACACCACAGGGACAGGGACGTAGAGGAAACCAAACTGAGATTGTAATCTCAACAGCAAAGACATCTCTCCTCTTTTCTTGCTTAATAAGTAATATCTGACAGAGACATAGTAGACTCTGAGAGGAAAAGTGGTAGGGCAAGCTGACAGTCAATCCTCCTTACAAGGAGCAATCAATGTTGGTCAGGGTTCCTTCGGCCAGACGGAAGGAAGCGTGAGGGGGTTCACCATGTATTCCATTTTTCAACTTGCCGGGGGAAAGGAACTGGACTGACGCTCCCCAGAATGGATATGGAGCCAGGACCACAAGGACCTGTTTATTCAAAAAAAAAAAAAAGGGGAAAAAAA